TGAAGTCGGCGAGAAAAAGACCTTACCTTATTGTAAACAAACAAAAGAAATGCAAAAGCCTGGAAATAAGGCTTAAATTTTAGCTAATTGTAAAAATTTTCTCGTAGATCTTTTAATTGAATCCAATTCTTATAATTTCTTTCCATTTTTTTCGTTATTTTTTTAAATGAATTTAATAGAAAAATCTAAGTGACACTTTTAATCCTTCCAAATTCATAAAATTAATAGTTTTAATTTTCATCATAGAGTAATTATAATTTTGCGTAGATGAAATGATAACGTAAGCGAATATCCATCTGTCTTAGCGATTATTACGTACGCTGTAAGATACACCTCAGATTGTAGAAACGAAATGAAAGAAAGTCATTTCGTTTGTGAGTGTATCTCAAACAGGTAAGAATAAATTGGCTAATGATTTGGAAAGCAATTAACTTAAATCATGAGTAGAATAACCTTGCCTAGTTAGATGAAAAGATGAACGAATAATTAGCGAATAATGTGTGCGTATGTGTATGTTGTGTGCATATATGTATGTAGGAAGGAATCGCTAGCTAAGGAATAAATTTTTAAGATTTTGAAATAGACATCATTTGCATTCATTGATCTTAATACATTCCAATGTAGTATAAAAACTGGATGTGACATGTTACAGTATAACTTACAGTATAACTTCTACAGTTTTCACTAAAATCTATTTTAAAAAATTTGATTGAAAAATATCAGCAAATATTAAAAGAAAAGTATTGTCAAAGTATGACGGATTTGTACTCAGGAAACAATAAACTTCAGCATTTTAGCAGTCGAAATCTGTAGAAGTGATCGGATCACGGATTACTACTATAAACTTTTCTGTGCCCTAAAAAATTTTCAATTGAAATTTATTGTGATCATGTTGACAGATTTTTCACTTTTTAAAAGCTTTTTCAAAAGGCAATGCTAAACATAGAAATTGTTTGCTAATCAACCGCTCACTGTTGCTATAACTATCATTAGCTAGTTTGCAGCTGTCGTTTTAAATTTTATTTTCATTGCTGTTCATTTCATTTTTGATATTTATTCAGACTTTAGCAGTTATTTATTTTGACGGGAAATTGATTGAACAGAAAGAAAGTTGAAATTCTAAAAACTTATTGTGATATTTTTTTAATATCTAAAAATGTATTGCTGATATTGAGCAGTCGAAGTAGTAATAATTCATAAGGCATTCATAATATAGTAAGCTGAAAAAGGATTTAATTATAATTGATCTTAAGTTGATATATATAATGATAGCATACCTATCTGTGATAGTAATCTTTTTGAAGAGAGCGATTTTGTTAATTTCACAATTATTATTACTGTTGTAATTGCTTACTGATGATGATGAAATTACTGCTTCCACCACTATGCATCTGAATCTGATTAAATTTGATAAAATAATATGTTATTAAATTTTTGGAAATATTTTAAGGGAAAAGCTTTTTGCAAGAAATTATTCAGTAAAGCGAAAAATATGGCTGTCATTTAAAGTAGTGAAATAATTGAGACGAAAAGAACAGAAATAAATGAAATGTTTGCAAATTAATTTTCCTCTTTAATTTACCGAAAACTAATTAATGCCAGCTAATAGGGACGCAAAGAGGTTGATAAGAAAAATTATTTCTGAAACATTTCTACGCCATTTTCTACTGGTCATTTTAAATTTCATTTTTTGTAAAATTAATCACTATCGCTTTTTTCTATTTACATCTTTGATGTGATAAGAATAGTAAGTTTCAATGCAATCAAAAACTTTCAGCAAAATTTCTTATTTATCTTAGAAATGAATAAATAGACGAATAATGATAAAAGAAACCGATAGATTTCACAAATGATAAATTATAAATTAGTGATTAAGAAATGATAAGATGAAGTGATTTTGGTTTTATTTACAGATGAAATCGATTAAAATTAAAAAACCTTTCTTTATTTGATTGGATAATGTAAGTTTGGTTGGTTGAATGATATAAGAGCATATATCATACTAATTTATATTATCTTCTTTTTCATCCATTCTTCTTTTTGTTTAAAAAAAACTGTTCAAATTTCATTTTAATTTAGAAAATTGCAATTTCACGCTTTTCTGAATATTGTCTACTTAAATTTTGTCACAAACGAAGACGAAATATTCTTTTCATTCATCATTTTTCAAAAGTAATTTTTGCAGAAATACTAAAATTCTCTTCTATGATATCATCTTAATTCGATAAATTTGCGATGGAAAAAAAGGTATGAAATGAATTGATAAATTAAAATTAAATAGAAATAAAAGCATTTTTGCTGAATTATTATTGAATGAAAAAATTTCCTGAAATTTCAAATCATCTAATTTCTATCTTTTTGCTTTTTCCATCTTTCACAATATTGTTGAAAAATCAAATGTAGAATTATTTGCTTATTGAAATAAAATATTTTTTCGATAAAATTAAATTTAATAAAAGTTAAGTTAAAAATAAAATGGTTATGAGCAAAAAGGCTCATATATTTTATAATCGTTTTTCCTTGCACGAAAAAAATCATTATTTTTATGCAAATTTAATAAATTTTGCATGGGCATCGTGAAATGTGCAGTAAATATGACACATTCAAAATGTTGCAATTTATGGTTTTATCGATAATTTTTGTGTGATAAATCATTAATATCATTGTTTTAAGAAGTGTTAATATTTGCATAACTTTTAACGATGATACTTTATCAGCTATTTTAGGGTTAATGTAGTCTGATTGATGCTAAATGATGTATTCGATTAGAAATAGGAATTATTTGATGATAAATGTGACAGTGAACATTCATTTTTAATAACTTTTACTATAGTGATTTACTTGATCGATTTACTACAAGAGTTGATTTATTAGGTTAAAATAAATAGAAAACTATTCGCTTAAAAGCTGTCAGGTTTTTCAGTGAAGTGTTAAATTTTATTAAAGACACACACACACACACACACACACACACACACACACACACACATACGCACACATATATATGTAAATGAAAGTAATTAAATCAACTTATTTGCTTTTATTTATTATAACTTGCTTTTATTCCAATTTTTTTCCTTACTTAATATTATTCAATATTTTATCATTAAAATGTACTACTTAGATAAAGTTTGCAATATCTAATCATCCGGAAGGTAATTTTTGCACAACATTAGTGAAAAGTTATATAATAGCAAAAAGACTTTTGACCAGGAATGATAAATGTTAAAATTTAATCTCACATTTCTAATAAATTATTTTTTCAATGATAATAAAGAGGGCAATATTATCTGAGTTAATGCTATAAAGTAGGAAAGAAGGATAAAATTGGCTGTTATCGAACTTATCGATAAATGCTTTGTTAGTATAATTATCATTTTGAAAGAAATGTCTTCAAAGTTAATTTCTAATTATTTTTCCAACTATGATAAGAAATAATTGGAAATATCACTGATTCAACAGAATTTCTCTTTTCCTAATGATTCATCTTCATTCTTTTCATTATTTCTTTTAAATATATTATAGCATAAATTTTTGAAAGAGAATTTATTCTTTCAATCGAATTTGATTTGAATTTGAATTTTATCGAATCGAAATTCGCTTGCTGGCAACAAAACACACACACACACACACACACACACACACACACATACTTTGATTACAATATCATATGTTGTCAAAAAATTCTTGATGCTTTTCATATCTTTTTACACCGATGTAAAAGTTTCTCGTTTAAAAATTTAATTTATTTTTTTTATGTTAAAACTGCAAGTAGCAGAACGAATTGTTGCATCAAAGCAACATTAGACGATATTGGCAGTAATTTCGGAATATTAAATCGAATCAATCGATTCATTTATATATGTGATTGCATGAAAGCATATCAAATTCTTGCAACCAACCTTTTATAAAGAGAGTATGTAATGAGCAGTCTATAAAAGAAGAAGCAGGCATTTTCGGCGAATGAAATAAATGATGTCAATTGATCAATATATCTATCAAATTAAAATATGTATCTATCAAATGTATGTCTGAAATATATATCTATCAAACTATACTGAAATATTGTCCAATATATATCAAACTATACTAAACACAGCAGCAATACAGATAGATAAGATAATGTGAATAAATTATGATAGCATAAATATCGTGTGACATGAAAATATCTAATAATGATTACGATAACATAAATTCATGTGGCATATTATTTAAAATGATTATGATAGCATAAATATCGTGTGTGTTAATATTTAAAATGATTACGGTACCATAAATATATCTATCTATTGATAAAAATTCAGAATAATTTAGTAAAATAATTTTGGTATAATATTAACAATGGAAAATGTATGCTGAATAAAGTAGAATATATAAATGATTATTTAACATATCGTTCACTTCATCTCACATCAAATTATAAATTATTTTAGGCCAAACAAATAAATGATTTAGTTTAGTTGATGTAATAATATTATTAAGATACGTTATTCATATGAACTTGACATACTATTTTTGGTATGAAGTGAGATCTTCAAAAAAACACTGAAATAGTATTAAACATATTAGATACTATTAAATATGAAATAATTTATTAAGATGCAATGAACAGAAAGAGCTGAAAATAGTAAATAATTTTAGGACAGTTGTAACTTAATTACATTATCAATTTTAATTTATTATTTTATAAAAATAATTAAATGATCAATATCATCAATGTAGTAAGTATCAGAAATTTGTTTTGGTTGCTCTTGTCGAATATTATTTAAATCGTTTGATTGGGAAAACGTTCTATTTGAGATTCCGTTCGAACTCAAAGATTTTAGAACTATTTAATTGAATTCATAAACATTTAATAAATTAATGAAATTTTATTGTTTAAAAATGATTTGAAATTTTGGCAAATTTCATTGGTTGAAAAATAATTTGTTGTAATACTACGCATTAATTTCATCCTTAAAATTAATTAAAATTATGATAATTAATTAAAATTAAAAAAATTATTTGCATCCATTCTCGAAATAAATCATTCCACCTTGCTGATGCTTTTGAAAATACTGTGGATTTGATAATGAATTTTCATCGTATAGCATACATTTATCCAAAGTGATATTAAATGCTGCTGACTACAATAGAAGAATCGCCGGATTTTTTTTTAATGGAAATTACTTATAACCGGAAGATATGATTTAATGAATTGTAGGAGAGATGAAATACCGTTTTAGTTAAATGATATCCTGTTATCCTATTAGTTGTAAAACAATTCTGTAAATAAATTATACCTTGCAATGAAAATGAGATGCCAAAAAACATAGCTCAATGCATGCAAGTAATCCATAATAACCTCCTGGAATATTATCGAAAATTTCTCGTGGTTCAATATTCATATTATAATCCAGAAATGCTCTGGATTCGGAACATTTTTCGAAAACAATCAAATCTTCTGAAATTATAAGAAAATTTATTCGATATGAGCTTTCACGATTAAAGTCATACTTACTCATAATTTCAGCTTTAAATTTAGATGTTTAAATATCTCGTCTTTGAAAAATTGATTGAACCTGGAAAACAGAATTTAATAGCTGTTCGAATTTTGAAGTCAGATTCAGGTGATGGTAAAAAAGCTAAAGATGATACGACGGTATCACCATTATTGGTATATATCGCGCAGTGTCGTTTTGCTTCATCATATGTAAATGAAGTACATTCTCTTCCGGAACTCTATAATTCTTAATTTTAATTAAAGTTATCATTATAAGTAAAAATATCAATAATAGAATTCATTGGATACATTATTGATTTTTTAAATGAAAAAGAATTGATAAATGATATCGTTCTCTATTTGATTCATTCATTTATTTACTTTTTGGTCAACTTAACGTCTAATAACATAAATAATATAATGCCGAAGAATATAAAATAAACGAACAGTGATATGATTACATTTGGCTCTACAAGACTTGTATGATCCAATACTTGTCTTCTTTTGAAATTTATCAATTTGTAATATGGCATTTTCAACAATCAACCATACTTCATGATCATTGCTTTCACATATTCCTGTTGTGTGTCGTAGTTACAACATTTGTAGATAATTATTATTAGTTGGTAATTATTTGAATTTTAAGGGACAAATTTTAATAGTGCGATAAAATTATCCTAATCTTTTGCAAATTTTAAACGATAGATAGAATAAAGAAAAAGAATAGGAATAAAATTTTTATGATGCAAAATTTATAATACTTTCTTTTATAGCACTATCTGAGTTAAAATAAAAATGAATGATATCCCTTATCATAAATAATTTATAAAATTTCATAAACTTATCTTTATTTCAGATAAATGAGAAAGAAATGATGATAATAGAAATAACAATTTCATCGTAAATGAAACCTGATGAAAGAGGCCTTTCCATATTATTATTTTGTTTTGAGGATTTTATTGATGTAATTGCTGGAGTTGGCACCAATTTTTTCGCAATGGAATTTTCAGCATTCAATAATGTTATCATTTCATTTGTGCCCTTAATAATTTTGTTTAAATTTTAATTTAAAGTCCATTTTGGATAGAAAAGTAATTAATTTAATGGAATTTATAGTTTGTAATGCTTGTCCAGGATGCGTATAATTTTTGGAAATTAGGAATAATAATTTGAACTATTAGTAGTTTAGCTAGTGGTAAAGGATTAATTTTAGCGGTTGGTATAATCAATTTCTTCCAATAAACATATCTCTATCTTACGTATAGTTACTATTAAATGATATTCTACAGTGATTAGCGGATATCGCGAGAAATACAGAATGCCTTGTTATCGTTACCTTATTTAACTTTTCTGCACTTATTAGAGAAGTTTTAATTGGTGATCGTCTTACGTCTTTCGGAACCGCTTTCAACTGTTTGTTTAAATCAACACCGTCTTTCTGACGATCATTCCAGAAATTCTCGTTAAGTAGTGGAAGATTCCCAATGTTTCCGATAAAAAATGAAGCATTGTCAGAGGGAAATGTTTCATGTTGCAATGCTTTAGGTCTTTCAGAGGTTGAATTAATAGAATCTTTTTCGAATCTGGACGAAAACGTAGAAAAAGTTGGCGAAGATAATTCGGAATCTACTATTTCTTCATCATAAATTTCATCCCTCTCGGAGAGTATTTTTGAAAATGAAGTTGGTAAAGAAGTTGAAGTACTAGTAGTGGTACTATTGGCAGATGCCATAGTATAATATTGCGGTTTCTGAAAATTATCAGAAATTGTCGTAGGAGAAGTAGCAACAACAGTAAGAACCTCGTCGAATTTTTCATACTTCGGTTTTTTTTGATTATCAAAAGAATCAAAATAAGGACTGGGAGTTATAGCTCGACCATCCGGTGGTATATGAATCAACAAGTTTGCATAAGCTAGTGCTGGTCGTTGTAACTCAATATTACTCGTAGTGGTCGAAGTGAACGATGATATTTTCGAGATCGCGAATTCTGAGTCGAGAAATGTAATGTTGGGACCATTAAGAATTTGATCTATAAGAGAAATTGAAAGTGAAGAAAAATATTAAGTTGATAAAAGTTAAAAAATGCAAGTAACTAATTCATTGATACTGATTAATTCCAAATTAACTAATTTATTGATACTGATTAATTCCAAGGAATCAAATGAAACGAAATAGAATTTTAACGAATGAAGTAGTGATCTATTATTCAATGATTCAAATTGATGTCAAATTCAATAATGTTAATAGAAAATTGAATTAAAATAATTTTTCAGTTGATGCCTCATTCCTATTACTCTTACTGTCACAATAACTAAATCTTACCTATACATTTTTTGTCAATTACTCGGAAGTAAACCATGCCACGAGCTATTTGAGCATTATGTTGTCCATCATCTAAGAAATAGTAGCATATATGTTGGAAGATATCATGAACTACTGATCGACAACGAGACTGTAAACTTTGAATTAAAATGATTAATTAAGAGAGTGAAAAAGAGGAGATTTGCAAAATGATGCCAAGATTGAATATAAGCGAGTAAAATCTACTGTAGTATAAGAAATGGAAAACTTAAAATATATTTGATCCGGAAGGGTACCAAATCAACCCGCAGGTATTCACGACATTTTTCCTTCCTTCCAAATAAATGAGCTTCTAGAAATTTCTCGATATTAATTGGTTGAAAAGTTTATTAGAATATTTGTCTACGCGCTTATAATCAATGATAAATGTAAATTTGAAATAAAAATTTTCAAAAAAAGAAACAAAATTTCTAATACCGAAGAAAGTGCACAAAATAGTAAACATTCTTCTGGTGTTTTCATTCGCCATTCGATATGATATGGTGATAAATCAGATAGCCGTTGACCAATGTATCGTTCGAAACATGGTTTCAAAGCTTTAAGATATTTATTTTTCAAATTTAGAATAATTTCATATTGAAATTAGAAATTGCTTAAAAGATAAAATGCAAAAATCTTTTATTTCATAATTAATTCGATAAAAGGAGGAAAAAAATTTTCCTCAATTTATTATTCTCACTTTGACACAATTCATAAAATCACTAATTTTGCTTACATCAATTATAGCTATTCTATTAGCTGTTCTAATTAATATTTGTTATAAAATGATATCACTTAAAGAATTAAATCTAATTTCCTCCACTCATTAACACTTCCATAATATGAACTGATAATTTTCCCTTACAATCGTCAAATTCTTATTTTTGTATTTACCACGACTTATATTTTGCATTGGTGTACAGGTATTCCTTGATGATTCTGTTGATTGTACATGAAATTTTCGAGACAATTACCAAATGTTTCGTTGTGTTAGTTAATCATGTCACCCATTTCCAATGAAAGAAAGTTTATTAAACAAAAATAGCGAAAATTGAAATTTACCATTAATACTTGTTTTACAGTCCCCAACTGCAGATAATGATAATATTAAGAATAAGAGTAAATTGAGGGAAGAATCAATGAAGTTAACAGCAATAGTCATTTCATGAATGGTAAACGACTATATCAGATGGAGAGTAAGAGGTTATTGTTACTATCAGATTGATAGCTCTTCTTAAAGGTTGACAAAAGGAGGGAGTGTTTTCAGTGAAAGGAGCAAAACGAGAATCAACTTTATTTTATTAGTCGGATGTGTGCTCGTGCGTGTATCTCTGTGTATGTGGAATCATCATTTCTTTTTATCATTTTATTATTTCTCCAGAAACTTGAAATCTGTCCTAAATTGCATAATTCTTTTGTACAGAAATTGATGCAAATGTATTTGAGTTATGTGTGCGCGTAGAGATACATAACAGAGAACCAGGTCAACGGTGAGCAACAAACCACACTTGAAGGGTTCATCTTCACATGTCATACCTTTGGACTTTCTAATCCTTTAAAACAAATCCAGTTACCAACCCCTTTAGTTCTAAGAAAATCGCTTTCACTTTGATTACTAGCCAATAAATCAAAACAACAAAATCCTTTGGTAGGAAAATGCGGGATACAAAAAGCTTTAGGGATTCCATCAAGCTTGTTAGGGTTGAAAATCCAACTATCATCAATGATCGAAATTCCAGAACTTCGAAGCTGTTCAAACCAAAAAATTTAGACGATCCTAAAACAACGAAGCAAAAATACTTCGCCACTATCGTTGACATACTCGATTACTGTTCGAGTAATCAAGTATGTTTTATAATTTCTCCTTTTTGGATGTATGATATATATTTTCGTAAGATTGCACACAATGGAAAGTAATGAATAACGAATTACAATAGCAGATCGCAATAATTTAAATTTACATGATGGATGAAAGAAACAATAGATTGTGAGTGAAACAGACACATTCGTTTTTAAAATTTCACGTTAACAAACTGAAAATCGAATAAAACTTAACAGACGATGAAGCCATGGTAAGTAATAGAAAGTAAAATTTAGGTCTTTGGCACAGGCAACAAAGATTGAAAATTTAGAAATTTTGGAATGATTTCCACAAAATAAACTTATGCAATGCATGTAAAAAAATTATAAAGTATAAACTTACCAGCATAATAACAAATACTTAAAAAGTTGCGAAGAATTGAATCCAGTGAAATTTATAATTTCTATAAAGTGTAGCAACACAGCAATTCATAGTCATATGTCATTAATTAAAGAAATGAAATCCTGTAGCAACTAATAAACAAGAATTATAAAAGTCTCAGAACAAGCATCGACAAATTTGCTGGTGAATTAATATTGATGGGTAGTATCGAAAGTCTTTCTCAGGAGATCTAACAGTTATATCCATTGTGTAGACACGCCATTCTAAAGCATTACGGTGAACGAGCAAAAAAATCAGATGATATAACGTAAAATATATAATTATTAGTTATAAAAACATCTTTATATTATTGGAGAAGCATTCTACCTAACTTGATATTTGAAAAATGTGAAGAACAAAGAAGCGCATAAAAAAAGCCCTTTTAGAAAAAATAGTGAAACTGCTGTGTTGCAGGATCTATTAATCCCTTTTTCTTTTTTTCATCTGGTAATACCTCCTTTTATCTCGGTTGCAATTTTCTTCTGTCGCTTCAGTTCCTCAGCATCAAGTGTGGTACGCAATTCACCAACAATCTGCTTGGTTTTTCCGAAATAAACTTCATTTAAAGTTGATCGAATTTTACTCTCCATGTCCTGAAAGTAAATATTTTCATTATTTAAATTCACTTCAGTGATCAGCTCATAATGATTAACATTCTAAATTCAGATCAACTACAAAAAGCAAAAAAAAATCCTGACCCTAATGTGACCAAAAATCAATTCTCTTTTGCACAAAAAAATGCTTATGATGATGTTTACAACAAAGTATTTTATTCAATTTTTCGATTAGATAAAAAAAAATTTGAAAAAAGCCTCTCACTTCTATCATTTTTCCAATATTAATGAGGTGGGTATTTGTGGAATCGTTTACTGGATGATCAGCTTCGGCCTAAAGCAGTAAAATTTTAAGCACGAATAGAACAAAAACTTCGATTTGAAATAGAAAAAAATCACTTATTTGTGTCTGGCAATAATAAAAATGAAAATCACCTGTCGCGTAACTGATCCTCCTAAATTCATCATACCACTTGCTTGTTTAGTCATTTGCAGCCAAAGCATCACTGTACTTGTAAGTTTGTAGTGTGCATGCCTACCACCAGCCTGATAAATTATTGTTTTAAACTTCATTTTGGCCCTCGATAAATGAAAAAGTGAAACCAAAAAATAAATGAAAAACAGAAAAAAGTTCACCGAAGTATAAATGAAAGTATACTTTTTCCTGTATTTCGATCACATGGATTGAATCCCAGCATCCTTGTATGTTACGCAAACCATCTCCGATTTTTTTGATTAAAACAACGCCTGCAAAGCCATAATCCAAATCCCAGAAGTATACTGACGATACGCCACCCTCAAAATATCTGTAAAAATATTTTTAGTAACTTACACTCCATCAGCATTGTTAACTAAATGAAGGACGACATCCATAACAATTCATATTAGTCAGCTAATAATATATTTTCGATACACCGCAACATACTAAAAACTCACTTATAATACTTGTTAGCCTAATGTGCATAACAAAGCTATTTTGATTTTAAAATGTTTCAAATTCATTTGTGAAGATGTTCGACCAACAAAGACTTACGCATCTCTGTAAGCCTCGAATGCAGCATTCATTTCAATTTCCAGCTTGCGAAGTTTATCTGATGGAGAAGCACCGTCTTCCAGTGGTGGATCATAGGTATTCGACCATGGCGAACTGGAAATATTTGAATAACAATACTGATAAATACCGATAAAGGTGATGATAAAACACTGACAAAGCGCCAAAGTCAATCTGACAGAATCTTAGACAAAAGCAATATAAAAACCTAATCAGGATAAAATTACTCCAAATTCAAATAGCTTCAAAAAAAACTAACCGATAACTATCGCTGTCTCTGTTATAATCACAGAGGAGATATTCCTTTCCTGTTTCTTTATCACGAGCAATTTTTAATGGTTGATCAACCGCACTCAATAAGTCATCCACCAAGCGAGGACACAAATCAATTAAATCATTTAAATTTCTTTCTACCTGTTGAGGTGGTAAACGCCTCATCAAGTCTAAAGCGCAATCGAGCTGCTGGTCTCCCTGGAAATATTAAAAAAATTTCTCCTTACATATTTTGACAGCTTTGCACATCTATGATTGCCAAATAGCTGCCTTTTGAAGATCTCAGAAGTGTTCAAAGGATCGCAATGCTGATTCCAACTGTTGTTTCATAAAAATGATACAATTCAGGGTTTCATACCTCACTTTATAATTCGGAGCTACAAGACAAGTTGAAGAGCATTGAAACTTTTCCCGTAAATGTCGATAGAGATGGGCACGAAATATAAAAAAAAACCTAATGAAGTGAAATCATTCAAATCAAATGCTACAATTATAACATACCATAACTCCCTGAAAATCAGAGATTCTTAGCCAAGAATGCTTAAAGCAAAAGATGGAACAATTTCAAGGTAATCTTCTTCTCTGTTGCACCTGAAACAAAAGAAAGAGCGATAAATGTAAATCCCGTTGATGATATGATGAAAATAACAAGCACCTCAGGATATGAAGATAAGCAGTAAACATTAAGATAAGCAGTAAGAAGCGCATTCAATCAACCAAAGAAATTGGTTACATTTAATAATTTTAATGAGCATTTCTATATTAATAAATTAACATTTCTCAATACTATTCTCCAAAAAACTCGTAAATATATAAATAAATTGCTACAGCTAATACTACTACATCCAATTAACTAAGTATCACAATTTCCAACTCATGACAATCCATCCAAATCGTTGTGCCGGAAGTCTAGAAATGAAAAACTTCAGAGATCATCTTATTTCACAATTCCATAGCATGCAACGGAAACTTAATCCGTCTAAGGGTTTTAATGTAATCTTTCTGTCGGAAATTGTGGGAGTAATGGGGTGTTTCTGCTTTGGAGGTCGCGGTTTGCGGATTTTGCAAGAAGGAAGTGGAGTGTAAGCTATACTTCATGAGATAATGTAATGATAAAGATTGAAAAATTTTTTCAGTTATTTGAATGAATAGTAGGAGTAGAAGTTATTTTATGATAGAGTAAGGTTAGGGTCAAGAAGAAGGGTTTCTACATTTATTACGTAAATCACATCCTAATGTAATGATTTCTCAACACGTCACACCCCTAATTACTGAATTTCCTAGTATCTTAATGCTGCTTCTTCATCTAAGTGTTGCAAGAAATTTTTACATACAGTAAGGTTGATAACGAACTTATACGACAATTGTCGATTTGTAAGGAGAAATTCTAATTACTTCAATTATTTTATTTTACCATATCCTCTCCTAAAGGAATTAAGTAACGTCTAAAATGTTCCTAAAGAACTTGCCGTATATATTGTGGCCATATATTGTGGTATTCACAAAGATTTGTACAACTCTAGCCATTTTTGATTGTAATGAAACAATTCATTATTTCTTCGTCATTTTTCAACAATAGAAAACATTCACTGTCTGTGAGCAAAACTGCGCGAACATTCTGAAGAAGAAACTTCAGCTCGATATAATGTTTGCGCAACTCTCTCCCAGAACAGAAATTTGAATGGTCTTGCAAATTCAGCCCTTTCAAAACCCTGTAGCACGATCCTTTTTGGAAATCTCAAATTCAATAAAGAATTTTGAAACGTTCGATAAAAAACACTTCATGCTGTTATTAAATAATAACTTGTCGGGAGACTGTCCGCAAGAGCATCCAAATTTCTGCTTCCTATAAACTTCGCTGTCAATTTATCTCAAATTCAATACTTCCTTCATAGCAAAACACTAAATCGAAAATTCTAGCTTGAATTTTCAGAGATATCTCAATTGTTAATCACTATTTAGGAGTTTCAAAGACCCGATATGAGTGATCCAAATAAGTGTTAATACTTGAATCGATATTTGATGAATTATGAGAAAGCAAT